TTAGAGTCAAAGAAGTTTAGTCATTGCTTTCTCCTTGGAGTGGACTGGGGGAATGTTCTAAAGAAATTAAACAAAATATACATTATTAATGTCTAATAACAAAGCAATCTCTACGTAGAGATAGGTTACTGGCGGGACTATCAGTTTCAAATCCTTTTCTTTTTCTTTTAATATTAACATTCACCTTAGGAATAGACAACATATATATTGACCTCAGGAAAATCTTGCTCACAAGTTTCATATGTAAATATTCATTATTTTCTCACTTTGTTGTGGAGTCACTGTAACCATTCTAAAACCGTTATATAAAACTTTACACATTTTAGGGGGAAATATACACAATATGCACACACAAACACATACAGAAGAATATATTTTTTGTAAAAATTTAGCTGACAAAATTTGTATATATTTGTGCAGTATCATGTGATGTTTCAAAACATGTATGCATGTATTATGTCCAAGCATTCATAATTTATATTTCTTTGAATCCAAATGCTTACTTTTGGCCTCTTTTTTTTTTCATGTACTATAAATGAGCAGGATAATAAGAACTTCATAAAGGAAAATCAGGGGACTGGCCTTATAGTGCATCACCGTAGGCTGTACCTGGGATGCTGGCATCAAATGTTTGAACCCTGGCTGCTCCACTTCTATCCCTGTTTCCTACTTATGTGTCTGGGAAAGCAATGGAGCATAACCCAGTCACATGGGTCCCTGCCACCCCCATGGGCGACCCAGGTGGAGTCCCTGACTTTTGACTTTAACCTAAACCATGTCCTAGTCATTGTGGCTATGTGGGATGTGAATCACTCAATAGAAGTTAACTCTGTCTCTCCCTCTGTCTCTGTCACCCTGCTGTTCAAATAAGGGGAGGGAGCTAAGTATGGTTTTCTTTATAGAACCATATCCATAAAATACTTGATATCTGTTATCTTCATCTTGATAAAAATGAGATGTAAAAAATAATCTGTTAAAAAGTAGGAAAGAATATTTTACAAGCTGTAAAATAAGATTTGTCCCATTTACGTTTACTGTCCAGCTTCTGTATGATGAATACTGTCTTAATATCACTCAAGAATCCATTCCTAATCACAGCCTTTCTTAAAATTCCAAACGAATTCTGGATAGCTGTTCCTGAGCACAAAGTCAACTGCCATGAAGCAAGCTTTTCAATTGCAAGTGACTTACTTGCTTTGATGAAACATATTTAATTACAATTCTAACATCTGTTGACAAGATAGGGGTTTTTTTAATATAATTTTTCATTTTTATTGGAAAAGAAGATTTACAGATAGAAGAAAAGACAGAGAGCAAGATCTTCCATTTACTGGTTCACTCCCCAGATGACTGGATTGGCCTGAGCTGAGCTGATCCAAAGCCAGGAGCTTTTTGGTGCAGAGTTGCAAGGCTTTAGACCATCCTCTGCTGCTTTCCTAAACCACAGGCAGGGAGTTGGATGGGAAATGAAGCAACTAGGACATGAAACAGCACCCATATAAGATTCCAGGTCTTGCAAGGGGAGGATTGAACAATTGACCCATCTTTCCTGGACTGAGAAGTTAGTTTTAATACATATTTGATCTTTTTGTCTTCAGTAAAGCCTGACACAGGCCAACACTATTGAGGAAGTGCTTTGCTCATTAATCCCGTACCTGTTTCATGTATTTGGAAAACAAGATGTGAATGTTTCCATGATTTAAAATTTAAAGTAGTATTGGATACACAAAACTTTCCTTTAGTTGATTACACCATTTACCGTAAAATGTCTCAAAAATAATGACCAAAATTAGTTAATACCTTTTATCGTTTATTTATTAACTATAGACTCATTAAAAAATTGACTCACACAATTAGATATATTTAAAATCATATCATTTAAAATAATATCAATTAAAATATTAAATGTTAAATTATAATTTACATCTCTGGTTATGTTCATGTAACAAATGAAAAATATGTTAAAATACTCTAAACAGAGTTGTAATTTGTAAACCGATATTATTTGGCTTAGTGAACAATAAAAAAACAATGAGGCACGTACTATTTAATCTCAAGTTAATCTGAAATAAACATACAGATGTGTGTCCTGACTACTACAAGAAGCAATAACCAGCAAGAAAGTATTACTCTATGCATTAACTATCCACTTTCCACTGTACCTGTGATGTAGGCCAGTTGTTGACACCATTCACATGAATTGTTAATGTTCTTATGTTTTGGAATTGGACCAAATAGAAAAATTCTTTCCATTCATTTAAACATCTTCTAATAATTTTTTAAAATTATAGTTTAACATGAATGTACTCTTAGATAGTCCTTCTCATTTAATGTCTCTTCCGAGTAAATGTTTTCCTGTTGTTTTGATTTTTTTCAGATAGAAAAGGCTTTATTTTCAAATGACTAGAGGACATTGAAAGTGTCATCATATTTTTAAATATGATAATAGACTCAAATTTTTACATGGGGCTAGGTAAGGTATTTGATTCTTTAAGCAGCTGAACATCTGAAAAGCTCATAAAAATACCCCAGAATTTGGAAAGAACCATTAATTCCTAAATGTTGATGATATTCATCTGTCACTTGTTATATAAATGAAGCAAAAATAAATGGAGGCATGATCACCAGTCAGGTGAAGACAATCTATTATTAGGTACGTTGTTATATACAATATAAAATATTCATCCATTTTACTTGTGCCATAATAAAATAATAGCAGTGTTCTACTGAAGAGGCATGGCAAAATGATAAAATCTAGAACATAAAATCACATGGAAGCTATTTACAGTTTCCTCAACAGCAGTAAAAAGATTTTCTACATGTAACTATAATATGTATCAAATGCCTACAGGTAGGATTGCAAAACTTTGTGATTTTCCTCTTATACTATAGTTCGTTATATACTTAAAGCAAGTTATAATTTACAACAAAGGTACTGTATAAAGTGTTTAAACCAGGCTGAGACTAAGTTTCCTTTAACAGCCGTTACAAGCCATGACATTGAATGTGGCTTTGTTTAATGCACAATACTCATCATGCTAAGCACAGGTATTTCCCATGGTCCTTAACACATGACAGGCACATAATCAGGTCAGGTTATTCATTAATTACTCATTTTAAAGTATTATTATTAGACTTATGAAATAGTTATGATGTTTTTTTTTAATTCCTGGAATTTAGTAAAGCAAAATTAATTCTGATTTTCAGGTTTTGTTATTTTAAAAAATAAATAAATTGTACCCACCAGGGGTGTGGATACTACTTTCAATGCACTTTCACTTTCCTTTCTCTCATCTTTCTTCTTCTTCTTCTTTTTGCCCATAAAGTAGAATGTATTTGATCATGCCTAAAGTCATGAGAATATTTCATAAAATAATGCTAATACTTCTCTATGATTCCTCTTTATGGATTATGAAGAAAACTGAGTTATAGGAAATATTTTCTTTGGTCACATCAGTAAAACAAATAACCAAGCTGCAACAAAAACAAAAGGTGTGTCTTGGTGATAAAGAATTCTGACAGCAAACACTCTTGAAAACACATGTTGTACAAAGTATCTTTTTTAGTGATGGGGAAGAAAAAAATGAGAGCTGATCATCAATCAAAGCCAGATCAAAAGAGTTAAGTGCACATGTATCATGAATTATTTGTTTTGAGAATGTAAGGAATGAAGAAAACTAACATGAATATTGAAATTATATCTTTTTTAAAAATGAAATACAGAAATGCTCAATATCAGTAATTCATGTATTTATTTTTGATGGAAGTTAGAAAGCTGTTTCTATGAGCATGTTTTGCAACAGTATTCAGAATAATGATTTTGAATGTTAAATGACTCATTTCTTTCTGCTTCTCAAAATTGCATGTAAATTAGTTGTACATAGAATCTTAAAAGGAAGTGTTACCTTGGATAGCCGTGTTGGAATAAGCTGAGAGGAAACAGTTCAATATTATTGATTATCAAGTTTTCTGCTTGTCCGCTACAGGTTGGCAGGAGTGAACTTTCTCTATACACACAAAGAGAACTGTCTCAAGGTCATTATAGATGTGTAGCTTTGCATCTCACAGAGTCTAAAGTACTTATGTATCACCTCATTCATGCAATGACTCATTAAGTAGTGTTAAATCTTTTTCAAATATTTGGGGTAGAAAACTTAGCTTATAAATGAACAAGTGAGCCATGTTAAATTGCATTTTCAGGAATAAGAGTTTGTTGATAGCTGGTAGCTGAGAATGATAACATTTTTGTTAACACAATGCTTCAAACATGCTTTGATTACAGCTAAAAAAAACAATGTCAGGCAATTACAGGAACTGCTAACATTTTGATGGGATTTGAATTCTCTTCAATTTATAAAATGTAATGCTCATTGGTAAAGTTACAGTGGCTTTGAAGAGGGGCTTTTTTTTTTCTCATCACTGTGGGGCACTCCCTGAACAGCCCTGGACTTAACACTCTTCATATCCCCATGTGTTTAGTAGAACCTGTTAGGTAAAGGCACTTGTTTCAGTCACATTCCCAGACATCAGATCAACCAGAAACAATCACTTTGTGCAATACATTTACTCATTCTGCAGAATTTTTTTCAGAAATAAAGAGAAAGGCAGGAAGAAGAGTAAAAATATTGAGTTCTTTTAAACTGTTTGACAAAAGAAAAATAGATGTTAAGCTGGTTGTAATTGCAAAATCTATCTAGGTCTTGAAAGAATAAACCAGTGATTGGAAAAATACCTTTACACGGGTAGAACAAAGATAGGAAATCAATGGCAGTCGATAGTGTGTAAACAAGTCAAATTTAAGTAAAAGAAGAGTAGACACTTTTCATTATGGGTTCTTGGAAACCATTCCCTGCAGGTTTAAGTGAATCAATCAGAGTGACATTTAAAGTGGCAGAAGACAGCCTGGGCAATAGCTTCTGTGTTCCATAATCAGGTTCAAGTGCAAGAAAGGTCTTTGTAAACAGAGTTCATGGCAGTATTTTGTGATAGAGGAATGGTCATTATGATTGCTTGGGGACCCAGGTAAATTTCCAGCCTCCCTTCTCATCTCGACGTACGAAGGCTTGTCCCTGGTGGAAGGAATGAGTTTTCACATTGCAGTGAGGACTCAGAGATGTGGAAAATGCCATTTCTGTCTTGTTGGGTGACACATCTGCAGTATAGTAAGGACGAGTTTGCTGCTCCACTGGGGGATTTGAATGCTGAGAAAGGAAGTGAAAATATTCCCTGTGACTGGCAGCGCTGTGCAGTAAGATAGTTCTATCACCTTCATAGTCAAGGGGAAGTTCCTCTCTGGGGAAATGTTCATAAGCCACTGCATCGTCTGCAAACTCAGAAAATGTGTTAGTGATTCTTCTGGGATGAGAGGAGAAGGCACTGTAGTTAGCTGATAAAGTGTCATCAATGGTGTTAAGGTCTTTTAACCCGAGTGTCTGAAGGACCCAGGGATCCACAGGAGGCCCAGGCTGGTCTGTACACTTAGCAAAATCAGCAGAGAGGTTTCTCTTGGCATTTTTGGGATGGGAAGTCTCAGTTAGAGGGCATTTTTGCTGTTTGGGTTTCCTCTTCCCCTTTCTATATTTTCCATATGCTTTGTAGAATTCATCTGATGATAATAATTTCTAGGAAAGCAATATTCAAAAATTATGACTCCTTCAAATACTTATTAGTTAACTTAATCCTTTAGAAAAAATATTCAAAGTTCTCTTATTTTTCATGCACAAGTAGAATCAATTGGATAGCTTTGTCCATGATGTAGGATATGTGATAACTAGTTACAACCTAGAAACTTCTTGTTTTTATATCTTCAAAATAGAAAGGAACAGATCATCTCTTCAATACTAGAGTAACTACTACTATAATAATAGTGATTACAATTTCTTGAGCCATAATAAAGAAATAAAATGTCATCTATTGTAATGTATAAGCCATGATTAAAGACATTATTTCATTTTGCATAGATGCAATAATAATTTCCATTAATGAAACAGGCTTGTCAGTGGTTTTCTGGGGATACCATAATCCATGTTTAGGTCCAGGCCACTTGAAAATAGACAAAACCTCTGATTCAAACATTATATAACATTACATCCTCTCATTTTATTAATTTTCAAAGCACTCTATGAAGTATTCGATTCTATTATTATATATTGTATTATATAATACTATAATATTATAAATCTTGGAAAATGGAGACCATGATTGAGAAAACTGAATAATTAATAGCTTATTAAGGCAAGCTATTTATAAATGAATTAAAGGGAATTTATTTTAAAGACAAGAAAATGTGAATTAATATTCAATGTGATTACTTATGGCTAATTTAAGAGTATCTTTAAAAATAAATAAATAAATAATAAAACAAAACAAAACAAAAAACCTCTGAGTTGATACATTTATGGAGCAACCGAAGCCCTGCAAGTGATTTATGTGAATCCAGTTAGATAATTAAAAGACACAAGTGTATTTCAGACGTTTTCCCACTCTAGAATGCTACCCATCTGTGTCTTCTTAAGTAACTGTTGTCTTAGCAATCCAATTGACTAGCATTTGATTCTTGAGAAATCTGTTTGTAACGTGTAGTCAAAACCTGCCATCTGGATACTCCAAAGACATGACACTTAAACATGCTCATGAAAAGCATGCAATTCATCAGGAAAAACCAATCTATCCTATAAAGGCACATCAAGGCACAAGTATTGTACTCTTCCTGCATTTAATTAAGAAACTTTACATCAATGCCATCCTTTCGCAAATTATCAATCTGTTCCTATCAAAGACGTTGTTACCTACCTTGGCCTTTCCTTCAAGACATTTGACCAAAGTAGAATTCAGGTACTGTCTGAGGTGGTTATTTTCTTCATGTAACCTAGCAAGTTCTTCTTCCTTCTGCAGCAGAGTATCTTGCAGCTGCAACAAGCAGACAATGATGAAGGCTGATCCACTATATTGACTTTGAAACCTTAGAAACATACCAGTGTTTTTTCACCTGCATGAACTTGATTATTTCTGTGTTTGTTTAATGAACAAAACCAAGGGAGCCCTCATCCTCAGAGACCTGATTTAAATCTATACCCCTGGTTGTTCAGTTTTGTGTTTTGGTTTTTCAGTACATTAAACATGCCTGGGGAGATTAAAAGACTTTTCAACATGGTAACTAACAAAATGGGAATCAGGTAGGGATAAATGAAAAATGAGTTGCCTGAAACTGCTTATGCCTTTTTAAAATGTTTAAACTGTGAGTCGGGGGGGGGGGGAAGAAAGACAGGGAGGAGAGACAGAACAAATATGAATCTATCTACTAGATATCCAAAAGATTAATCTTTAGGACTGGCAACAAGCAAAAATTTTTAAAGTTTTGTAAATTGTGGAAAATCTTGGAAACCAACACCTCTTATTCCAGACACTACACGTTTATTTGTTTAAAAACAATTGTGTTGTGTATCATTTGCTCTTTCTGAAATCCCTCTGAGATAACGCTGCACAAGGAGGTCAGATGACTAACAAGTGTGAGGTGGGAGCCTAATTGCAGATCTCAGAGAAAGAGAAACTCCGTTTCAGATATCATTTAACATGGGGAAACTTATATTAAACTTATCTATAGGGAAACGTATTACACTGGATGAATATCAAATCCAAAACAAAAAAAAAAGCATTATAACACTGAAAGATGACTTCGCAGAAGGAGGGAATACATGCTGAAACACGGCCAATGCCTGTATTATGACTACCTACCTACACATACCTGCTTATTTCTGTAGAGCTGAGAAGAAAGCTGAGTGTCTTCCCAGGAGCACAAGTCCAGAACAGGAAAATGTGAGTCACTGGATTGTTCTATGGGAAAAGAAAACTAAGTGAATATTTGAGAAAACTAAGTAAATATTCAAGTTTGTGTGGATTAAGAAAAATCACCAAATTATTTCAAAAACCTTAGTTTGTTCAATTACCTTTCTAAAAATATTTCTTGCCCCCAAATAGAAAACCAGAATGTTTAAAGTTTTTAGAAAATGCTAGCAAGGTATGAGAAGTAAATATAAAATCCCAAAGTGACCATAGAAATGGATATTCCAAGAGCTCACATTTTTTCTCTGATGTAAGTGTTCTGCTGGTTAAATTCAAATAACCAATTATGTCATTAATCCATCCAAATATTTATTGACACCTGCCAATCCCTGACACCACTAAGCATAGTGTTTCAATTTCCCTATATTTTCTAAACTTTGCATTAAATGACATCATGTTTGTGTCTATAACCACATTTTAGTTTTGGATGCTACTCTGTGTGCCTAACTGCCTACCTCTTAAATCTGAAGGATACTAATTAAGCAGAATTTTATATGGTATATCTTCTACATCAAAATAGTTTTGATCTTGCTTCTCTAAAGACTTATTTGAGTAACCCAAAACTATACCCAGCACATAAACTGAATTGTTTTTCTCTGTATTTCAATTTTATTTCTACCTTCTTTTTCATTTGTAGTACAGATATGATAGATATGATTCTTTGCTTTCTATGTTAAGTCTTCAGTTACTGAAATAATTTTGGTGGGAGTAGAAAGAGAAGAGACAGGAACCTGACCTACTGTTTGGGTTTTTCTTCCTAGCACTCTGCTATCACTGGCATTTGTAGTATAAATCATGAACTGAACAATTTCCTCCCTAAACATAACTGTATCTTAATATTTTGGGGGGTGGTGGGATCAACAATACAGATTTTTACTCGTGAGGTACCTTGAAGTTTTTCCCAAAACTTGATTGCTAAGACAGAAATTCTATTAATGTCACAAGTATACTTCACTAAACAATGGATCAAAATTATAGTGTTCATAATTTTCCATCACTGCTATACTTCCTTTGAAAGTTGAAGTGATTTTTCTCTGCAAGGGAATCTTTTTTCCCAATATCAAATAATTGTTTATAGAATTTCCTCTGTGAAAAAGAAGATAAAATTAGTCTTCTTGATTTTCTCTCACACTCAAAAGATTATTTAATTGCTCTAAAAATTTTCTAAATTATACCTTCCTCTCAAAAAACATTCTACTAGAGCATTGTGTATAAAACCTCAACCCAGACACAAACTCCCTCAGAGAATTTGGAATCCACGAATTCTAAAATATAGAGAATATTTGGTGTCTAGTAAGTCAGGGCGTAGAATCCCATTTTCATTCTCTGTCACCTGATTTACACCTGTAAATTTCAGGAGACTCTGGGGTGACTTAACTGTCCATGCCATCCCTTCTTTCTACAGGAACTGTAGCCCATGATGCTTTGCAGTCATGTGCACTGGAAAGGGCTCCAAATCTACAACGAAAGCAGAAGAGCAGAACTTACCCTGTGCCTGTGGTGCTTGTTGGGGCTCTCTGTCGTCCAGGAGACCAGCAGCCCAGAAAGAGACCCAAGTATCCGTGGAAACGTCAACATTAGATTCCGATGTTGTAGCGGAATACGGGCAATTATAGCTCTGGCTTCCTACAAAGTGCTGGTCTTGGCAAGGTAGAATGGTGTTCTGTGAAATTCAGTACGAGGAGTGATGATATTGAGGAGAGGATATCCCAGGAGATAAGGTGATGGGGAAAAGAGTGGGCGAAACATGGAGAAATCATTTGCAGCACATAAAAAAACAGTGAAGGTTTTAGGTATAGATCTGGACTAAGTTTTTCAGTTGCCAAACTATGATTACTAAAGGGTAAGGTGTTCCTTAGTTTACTCACTACAATCCTTGGCCCTTTGGGCAGACAAGATTGGCATTGGATAGACCAAAGTTTTAAATATTTCAGTGGATTCTCTATTGCAATGCATCTATCAGCTTATCCATGATCAAAGTTTAATGAGTTCTATTAATGATTTAAAGTCATAAAAACTAGTTTGTTGTCTCCCACAAATACCTTAATTATATGTCCAGTAATCCTGAAAGATGAAATGGACAAGACATCATGTAGACTAAGCTCCTTATTTTAGTTGTCAAAACATATACTTACTGTACACTTGTGAATTTCTTACTTCTTCCATTATCTATTCAACTTATTACTGGATCTCATGTGGATCTAAACAATTAACTTTGTTATATCTGTGTATGTGTATATACTTCTCTGTAAATGTGTGCAAGTATATGTAACATGTATACATTATATTTTCTCCTGTGAACTACAAATCCAAGCACAGGAGGGCATCATAAAGTCATCAAAAGTAAAATATAATCAAGACTGAAAGTAGGCATCAAAGACAGAAAACGTTAGTTCTCAGCATCACCAGCACTCAATGCCCTTCCCAAGTTATTTTGCATCCTAACAGCATGACAGGTACTATATCCAATACACTCCCTCCCCCATTCTTAAACCTCAAACACAGTCTTTTTAAATGCTTAAACAGGCATAGGTACGCAGCCATCCTGGGTTAATTTGTACAACAGCTCACTCCTAATTATTTGTCAATGTTTAATCAGGTAAAAGCCATTCATTTCAGTAGAACCCAGTTTCCAACAAACTCTTTGATCAACACAGGTTTTTGTTGATTTGGGGTGTTTTCTTGGGGGGAAAAAAAAACAGGGAAAACAAATGAAAAGGAAAAAAAAAGTTAAGTCAACTAAATCACACTTTGTTAATATTCCCAGTAAGTTAAATTTTGAAAAAAAAAAAATCCAGTTCTGAAGCCAGTCCAGCTTGGGCACTGCATACCAAGAAATTCAGCCAAAAGTTTATCAAGAGGCATTTTCTTTTATTCTAAAAGCATGTTTGCAGACTCCTTCCCTGAGGTTATTATTGGAATCAGAGTTAAGCTATTATGCAATTGACACCTGAGAAGAAAACAAACCCTAAATACTCCCTGAGTACTTCAAGTACAGGTGTTTGCAAATATGTGCGTATTGTGGAGGAAGGGGTAGGCTGAAAGTGAGTGCAAATGGACAGTGAAAGTTAGAGGGAGGGAAAAAGTGTGAGAAAACTAGAGATCGCAAAAGACCAAATGATGAGAACGGGGGCGGGGGGGGGGGAGGGGGGAGAAGAAACTACGCAGGACAGTAAAAGGGAGTTGAACAGGCAGTGGAGAAGACCTTCAAAGCAGCAGGTAACAGAGCAGTCTTGCTACCAAGGTATTATGAATCTAATAGCGAAGTTTTTGAGCTTCCAGAGACCCTCAGGGACTAGCTAATTCCAGCTCCTTACTTACCATGTTGCAGTGGAAGAAGACGCGGCAGAAACCGAGCCCACTCTTCACTGTGTCCTTAAAGCCAATGGGAGATTTAAACGGATCCGAGGGGGCGGACCTGGGAGAGATAAGTTCTAATGTGCGGGAGCTCCAGGTGACGCGGGGAACTTCGAGCAAGCGCCGCCCTCTGATTTGGCGCAAGGCTGTCAAACTGGTGACGTGGGTCAAGAGACACTCAACAGAAGCCACAGTCGTTTACACCCGGGGAGGCTACCGCGCTGGGATCTGCGGGTCAGGGACTCTTGCCGGGGCGGGGGGCGGCGCAGCAGCGAGGCTCTGCCGCATCAGGTTGCGCAGCTGCCACATCCGCACCTGTGCAACCCCAGCCTTCCCAGCGACGGACCTCGCAGCCCGCCGGTTGAGGCAGCTGGGATTGAGAAACCCCGCTCCCTGAGCTAGAAGCAGGGCAGGGCTGAACGGCAAACCGACCCTTGTCTCTGCGGCTCAGGTGTGGAAAAGCCCAAACTGTCAGGGCATAGGGCTACACTGCGGGAAGTCCGTCCAAGGTACCCCAGCATTCCTGTTGCTTCTGTGCGTTTCCTGACTAGGAAATATATTGATTTCAACGTGCAGTATCAATCCTCTGTGTGGATCTCCCCCTGTCACACACAAACATTTCTGTTTAATATTCTGCGTTCCCCTCCATTCCTGAAGTATTCTACGTGGAGGTGACAGACCTGCATTCCATCCTGTGAACCTCAGGAGAAAGACGGTGGCCTCTCCCGTGCTGGCCATGAGCTCCTCAACACCTACAACCCTGCATAGCTCGTGCTTGGGAATGATTTGTCCAAAGAATGAATTAATGCACAAACTTAGGAATCCAAACTACATTTCTTCATATTAAAATGATCTTTCTTGTCATCTATTGATAGGTACAGTAGTGTAATTGACGAATTGTGTATGTTAATATTTTTCAGTTGAAGCAGTTGATTTCCCCTGTGTTTTCAATTGTTTTATTCTCGTGACATATCCTGTTGTGTTATTGTAGAAAATAAAGGTTACACCATCTTCAAAACCACACACCTACAAATCCTCGGAATTTTGTATTTCAACGTATCAGCTAGACGGAATAAGGTGGCGATCACGGTGGGAGGTGCGTACTCTTAACGTCCCTGCTGCACAGGATGGGGGAGGAAGCACTGAGGTTAAGAAATCTGACGATCTGGGCCCTGCGCTGTAGCCTAACAGCTAATGTCCTGCCTTGCACGTTGCTGGGATCCCGAATGAGCGCGATTCTGATCCCGGGACGCCCTACTTCCCATACCTGCTTGTGACCTGGGAAAGCAACGGAGAATAACTCTATGCCTTGGGACTCTGCACCCACGTGGGAGAACCGGAAGAGTCTCCTGGCTCCTGACTTTGGATCGGCTCAGCTTTGGGCCGTTGCAGCCACTTGGAGAGTGGGTCAGCGAATGAAAGACCTTCCTCTCTGTATACATAACTTTACAATAAAAATAAGTAAAACTTTTTTTAAAAAAAAGAAAGAAAAGAAACTTGACAACCTTAACACAATTAGGCAGTAGCAGATTTAGCATTTGTACCTCTGGCTATGGCATTTTTATTCCCGCTGCCTTCCACATGGTAGTTAACCCTAACTTTTTTATACCGAGTGTGATAGACACTTTGGTTCTATTCTTCTGAAATCTGCATGTTAAATCTCCAAATCCAGTATCACTATCCCAGAAGCCAGGGCCTTTAAAGAGTCAACAGCAGGTCAGTGAACAGGTAGAATGCATCCTCAACCCGGTTAGACTGGTGTTCTTATGACATGATGAAGCTGCTCCAGAAATGATACCTAGAAAAGCTGTAGGAGGGAACAGGCTCATGGCATCCTTTGAACGTGAAGAAGAAAAGCTTTTGGAAGAACAGACAGCTCTTCTAACACCTTTATCATGGACGTCTGATCTCCAGAATTGCACGTAAGCAATTGTTCAGACAATCATCTCTGCAGTATTTTTGTTGTGGTAATGCTACAAAAACTTCTTCCTATACTTCATGGAAATAAAATTAAAGAATACATCCATGTTGTTTCGAAAAAGTTTGGAATTCATGAATTTTTTCCTGATACACATTTTCAATAAACTTTTTGAAGACCCCTTCAAACAGGTAAGATGTGAAAACAGGAAACTTCGGACTCTGGCTTGCATAGTGTTTTGTCTAAATCAGTTGTAGGTTTTTTTTTTTATTATTATTCTTTATTAGTTTGTTTGCATTTTACTTAAAATCAGAGATATAGAGACACTAGAGGCAGTGATGTTCCATCTGCTGATTCACTCCCCAAATGTCCTGGTTGATCTGTTAGGCCAAAGCCAAGAGCCAAGAACTCAGTCAGGGCCCCACACAGGAGGCAGTGGCTCATGTTTTGGAGTCATCACCCGCTGCTTTGAAAGGGCATGCATTGACAGGAAGTTAGAATTGAAAGCACAGCTACTTCAATATGAGGCGCACGTATCCCAAGTAACGTTCACACTGTGATAACCCACCCACCCACAATTACCGTTGAAACATTTAGTTTTGTTGTACTTTTCTTATTACCTGCACCACTCAGTGAAGTAGCTGGCACACAGCAATTACTTATGAAGTGCTCTATGACCAATATTAGGAAAGGGATGAAAGAGAAAGATGAGGATAACCCCACTTTTTGAGGACAACCCTTCATTCTTGCTTCTATAATCCTTATTTAAAAGCACTTTTAAAAAGGAGATTAACCGAGTTGGAACTCAGTGCCTGGAGAGGGCAAACTAGATTATGAAATAATAACTGATTTTCATGGCTGACATGAAAGAACTGTTTCTTCTCTCAGAATAGGGACAAGAATGCACTGGCCAACAAACCCAGAGAGGTAAAGGAAACAGATCAAATTTAGATAGTGAGTATTGTTGAGTAGCTTAAGATAAAAAAAATAATTAAAAAATTGCTCATGCTTGTAGTGCTGTCAAAACACTGTTTCAGGGCAAAATAAAAACTGCAACAACAACAACAAAACTAAGACTAATTAGTTCTGAGGTGGGCAGCAGGAAAAACAAGAGGACAGAGTCATTTTGATGTTTGGAGCTGTTACAGATGGGAAATGGGAAGGTAGAATTCTTTACCCCCAAAACAGTACAACTGGATAATAGAGCAAACATGCCACCATAAAAATATCAGATGCTTCCAAAATGTATTTAGCTTCTAATTTCTTTTGCATGCTTTGAAACTGAAACACCTGGAGGTGTATTAACCATGTCTCCAATTCTGGCAGACAGTCTAGTGGATTACAAGTACTACCCACCACAAATTCTCCAAAACTCCTAGTTCACTGACTTAGTAATGAATAGTAGGTATTTTTACTGTTAGATATAGGAAATTCTGGTTTGAATATTTCAGGAAACCTCAAGATTTCACAGAAAATATAATTAAAAGATAATTGCTTCTTAGCCTTTTGGCTAAGATCAAGTGCAGAATTAAAAGATAAGTTTAGTTGGGTGCAATTTTTTATTGTTCTAAAAATATGGAAAGCTTCATGAATTTGCACATCATCCTTGTGCAGGGGCCATGCTAATCTTCTCTGTATAATTCCAATTTTAGTATATACGCTGCCTAAGCAAGAATGCAAGTTTTCTTAAAAGTCTGCATTTTTTTCAAAATATTGTTTACTGTGAACTTGTCAAAACTCAAGCAATTATAGATTGAGATAGATAGATAATTTGTCTTGCTTGAAGCTACTTTTAAAATGAAAGGTACTTTTAAAAATAGAGTATGTGGCAAGGCCAAAGCTAGACATAGATAATTTTTTTTAAGTTTGTGAAGGATTTTAAACAAACAAATGTTTTGCCAATCATTAGCTACTTTAGCATAGCAGCAGTGTACGCCAGTGTGGTGTTAGGCAAACACTACAGTTAAATAGTGAAGTGCTATTAATAATTGGACATAAATTGGAAGATAAATCTCTCTTGAAATAACACACTGGAGAAATCTCCAGAGGTTGAAAGACTCTTTCATGTGTATGTATTTACTACTTAGGTATAAGCCTAAAAATTACTATGACCATGATTAGTTTGTCAAGTCTGTTTTTTAAAAAGGCGCAAAGATAGCAATAATGTGAAACCAATGAGCAGTCTTATTCAGAAACATCAAGATCAGAGGAGCACATTTATTAGCGATGTACATACAACGATGTACATACATGAAGACGATTTCTTTTCCAGGAACAATAAGATCATTTATAACTCTGTATTATGTTTTTAAGGATGATTTAAAGAGGAGGTTGCTAATAACAGCTTAGTTGCTGAATCTGGACATTACCTCCTGCCGGGTCGGACGTACAATAAAAATAGAATGAAACCTGACCTACACACAAAACAAATCTGCAGACAGAAAAGGGTAGAGTATGATGAGAGCTGGGACCAGGAAATAAACAGATTGGCATATGGAATATTCTACCATTTCACCCTAGAGGACACTTTATTTGATTGCCCCATTAGGAAGCTCCATAGAATATATAATAAGGAACATTTTTAAATGTGTCTTTAGTAACAGCTTTTTTTTTCCCATAGCTTCAACAGCTGACTCCCCAGGCAATAAAAAAAAAAACATAATAGTAATAATAAAAAGATCACATTTCACTTTCACTTGTCGTCAAATAAAACTATTACCCTTGGAGAAAATTTAGCGCAGTTACAATTTTACATGAAAACATTCAACAATTGCATTTCACTTAGTATATTTGCACAACCAGAAGACATCGGATTTGTTGAAGCATAGTTTTGAATTTCACTCTTGTCAACAGGTCCAGTAACTTGCCTATTGCTCAACATGTGGTTGTCAGCAGAGATTTCTTATGGCCAGCATTTGTTTCCTCAGTAACTCATGTGGCGGTCAAAAACTGTTTCTATGTGAGGATAAGGCGGGGAAAAGAAAGCAGCTACTAATTCTGACAAAAGAAATGGAAAGATGCACTTGAAAACAATTACTTAAGGCATTTTTGCTTAACAGCCATCGGAGTTCCCAGTTCTCTCTGGTCCATCAGCCCACTCCAAAAACTTGAGGAATCCTTAGTCCATAGTTCCGTAACTTTTAATATATGGAGCCACTGGTTGGAAAACTATGCTTTGTGGTAATCTATCTGGCTTAATAAGAAAAGAATAATCTCAATCCTGAAATTATCACATGAAACTGCCTTTACTATTCTTTGCCAAATAAAGTAAGAAATTTATAGGCCTGTTCCCCCACCTTACTCTTACTTCATCAGAATAAATAATTAAAATTGCTATGATTAATGTTTGAGTGATGTATGCCAATCTAACAATAATCGAAAACAAAATAAATTTACAGCTTTGGTGGCATCAGTAAGTTCACAATCAAGGCTTCAATGCCTTGTTCTTTTTTCAGTTCTCATAAATTCTTTGGTAAGGATTTTTTATTAGGAAGACTGTGAATAGTCTCAGTAGATATGTTACTGACAAGGCATTAAAGCACAGAGAGATGAACTAACTGGGACCTGGCATTCAATCTTCCATAGAGGTGGCAAAATTTGGGAGATAAATGGTCAGTTTCTGTAGAATTCTACTGTATTTAGAGTGTAATAATAATAAAAAAATAATAACTGGGACCTGATTCTTTCTAATTCTGGAATTATTAAGTAAACAAATAGTTTGACATCGTTAACTTTAAGAAGATGCAATGTTGTTTTTCAGTTCAAAATTTGCTAAGTTACCATGAATGACATATTCTACATCTTTTACTGTATAAAATCTGTAAAATTCTTACTAACACATTCATAGTGAAAATTTTCTGTTTAAAATGAAATAAAATCTCAGTTAAATTTTGTATTAAAGTTGAGATGTGTCTAGTCATACTCCTTTTTACACCTTCCATTTTTTTCAATAAATGAGAGCATGAGAGCAATTTATAGTGAGTGGGTATATTTTATACCTCTAAAGTTTCTGAGAAAATATGCATATTCATGTAATTGTTATGAATTCATTAATGCTGACTGCCATTAGTAGTAGATCATCAAATATGAATGTTCATAAACAAAAGTTTCTCTTGATCTGGCAGGTTTAGATGTCCACGATCCTGCATCAGAATACTTGAGTTCAATGCCTGGCTCTGGTCCCTCACACCAGGGTCCTCTTAATGCAGAGACCGGGAGGAAGCAAGGACAGCTCACCATGGAAACCTACACTGAATTCTCTGGAAAGAGTTTTGACGTGGTACAGCTGCATTTGTGGAGTGAACCTGTAGCTGGCAGCATGGTCTCTCTCTCTTTTTTTCTCTGTCTGAATCTCAGGTGAATATTTTTTTTTCCAGACAAGTCATTAAAAAAAATTATATATATATATATAATATATATTAGATTATATTATATATTATTTATATATATTATATTATATATATTATATATATTATATATATAATAATATTATATATAATATTATATATATTTATATATATTTTTATATATTATATATTATATAATAATTATTATATAATAATTATATATATTAATAATAATATATAATAATTATATATATATTTATATATATTATATATTATATAATAATATTATATAATAATTATATATAATAATATATATAATATATAATATAATATAATATAATATAATATAATATAATATAATATATATAATAATATTATATATATTTATATATTATATATTATATAATATATATTATATTTATATATATATATTTAATATTATATAATATATATAATATATATTATAATATATAATATTATATATATTTTTATATATATTTATATATATTTATATATTATATATATAATATGTATAATATATATAATATAATAATATTATAATAATTATATAATAATATAATTATATAATAATTATAATAATATATATAATATAATATTTATATATTTATATATATTTATATATATTTATGTATATATATATTTATATTTATATTTATATTTATATTTATTTATATATATATATTTATATTTATATATATTATATATATTATATATATTTATATATATTATATTATATTATATATTATTATATAATTTATATTATATTATATATTATTATATAATTTATATTATATTATATATATAATATATATATATTATTATATATAATATTATAATATTATAATATTATATAATATATTATATATATTATATATATTTATATTATATTTATATTATATATATATATATCTCCTGGGCCTGGCATGATAGCCTGATGAGTAAAGTCTAAGTCTTCACCTCGCATGGACGACGATTTCATATGAGTGCCAGTTTACATCCCCACTCCTCTACTTCCCATCCAGCTCCCTGCTTGTGACCTAGGAAAGCAGTCCAAGACGGCCCAAGATAAATTCAATGCTCATATCTATTATATTTATAATAATTAATATTGATCTACATAATCTTTTAAAGATTATGTCTGTATCTGGAGCAATTAATCAATGCCACCTTCCTTAAAATATTTATAGACAGAAATTTTCAAATTTTAGAAAATAAGTGTGTTCTCCACTTCCAATTTTTCTATCAAGGGGCATCAATTACCCTAGGTAGAGTTTTATGTCACTACCTATACTGAAAGAAGGAAAGAAGATTTTTATCCTCTATATTAAGATAAGTTCTTCAATGACATGTGTTTTTTGCTTCTCCTTTAGGAAATGTACAAGGCTGGTTCTGGACCAATCAGAGTTGTGAGTGGCTCCCTTACGTCACCTGTGATAGAGTGGATAAATCTATATTATTCAGAAATATGTATTAGGTATCTTTTAAAATTACACAGAAAACTTCCCCTAAATTCAATGTTTCTTATTGTAATGATGGGGAAAAGTTTACTTTTATTTCTATGTCTTTGGTTTCTGTTGTATAATAGTTTCATATCTTGTGAAGAAAAAAAGGGGTACTATCAGTGTTAAATATTTATGATAAAACAGTAACATATTCTACCATAAGAATGAAGTCATCAAGAGAGAAATGTAATTGGCTCATCGAAAAGATATTTTGTTTTCATTTCTGTTAAGTTAGTAAGGGCAAAGAAATTCATGAAAATAATAAAATTAACAAAAATAATTTACAAATATGTTTATTATAGTTACATAATGAATGTGAGCATTTTTAAATGTGTAATAAGAAAAATATTAAGTAACAATGTGTCCATGATATTGGTTAAATATCTATATAAAGTATTTTGTAACAAAAAGAAATGAAAAAGCCATTTTGTTATATTTGCATGAATGAAAACATTCATAAAAATGAAATAACCCCAGACATGTTCCAACTGTTTAATGACATTTATTATTCAAAAAGAGAAGTGGGAGGATGCTGATTCTAATTTTTATGTTTCTGCGTGGTTTTTTTAAACAAAATATTTATTTATTAATTCTGAAATTTTGGTTTATAGAGAAAAATAAAAGATGTTTTTCTATCTATGTTTATTCCCCAGATGGAAGTAATGTCCAAAGTAGGGCCAGGACAAAGCCAAGACCTGGTAGCTTCATCTGGGTCCTCCAAGTGGATACCAGGGGCCCAAGCACTTGGACCACCATCCTCAGCCCATAGTCAGAGAGCTGGAGCAAAAGTGGAGCGGCCTTGT